TACTATTGTCCTAAGTATGTTTATTCATTACAAGAAATTCTATTCAACCTAAATACCACCTAGTTCCTTGAATTTTCAGAAGTACCCAGTTGATCAAAGCACAAAGCACAGGGACCTCCGTGGCCATGGTGAATTTGGCACCAAACTAATTGCTCCACCTGCAACAGGGTGGTGTTATTATTCCCTGAGTGCATGTTTTGGCTTAGAAGGAAGAGATATGCGAACTAAAGGTGCTTTTTATTTGTGGATTTTTTTTTTTTTAAGTTCCACAATATCCTGATTCTTTCCAGATCTGGAATAACTGCTGTGTACCTCACAGGGAATAGAATTATTCGTCTGTTGCCTAAAATATTGTTGATTTTCAGTACATGAACTTACATGTAGAAAAAATAGATTGAACTTCAACATTGCTTGTTATGGTTACTCTCATTCAGGTCACTGAAAGTTTTTCATCAGTGAAGTCAGCAGGCAATAGCCTGTATAAGATGTTGGTTTCAGTTTGGGGGAAATAGCGAAAATGTTAATATTAAGACTGAAAGGTAAAAAAATGCTAAAATGCATTAGGTCTTTTTAACAATGTAATTAAGTTTCAGTCTTAGGAATGTGGCAGAACAACTTCAAATGACAGAGAAGCAAGCTGAATTAATCTAATGGAAAAATATAAATGGAGAAAGATACAATTAGTCTTCTATGATTGTAAAATTATATTAAATAAAATAAACAGCTAAAACAGATGCCAATGTAAAGTATTTTCTATCACCTTCTATGTCCTCATTCAGATACTCAAAATAAGATTTTTTTTAGAGATGCTCCGTGCCCAGCTGATGAAATACAAGAAAGGCTAATGTCAACATACTAATGCTGCTCCTATCCAAAATTCACTGGGTTTGGAAGCATTTAAGTTCAGGTGCTTTGAAATTATTTATAATGGCTAATTTTGAAGGTTTATATTTTTATAATCACAGGCAGCCATGCCATTGTCAATCCATTTAGTTACATTCTATAAAATCTGACTTCTTTAAAACCTGAAACATTATTGCACTTACTCAATTTAGTTGAAAAGGAAATTAATAGCACAGTTATTTGTTGACAATTTTATGAGAGTATTCACATCGGATATACATGTTAGTGAGTCTAACTAATTATCGTTGCTGTTGCAAAGATAATGAATACGTGCTTAGAACATTATCATAGTTCACTACTCACAAGTACGAAAAATTCAAAAGAGCATAACAATAAATTTTTTTTCCCTCACTTCCAGTATTTTCTTTAAACTTAGCTGCTACAGAACAAATAGGGCATTTGCCAAATGGTTAAGCATTAAATCCTGGATGACTTTGGAAAAAAAATGTATTTTAAAGCAACATTTTTACAAGTGTGTGCGTATTTCTGTACTTTTACCTTGACAAAAAAAAGTGTCTTCAACACCACCAAGGTTGGTTAGGAAAAGGAAATACAAAGGTCAGTCCCCTGGGTAGGACTGTTAGCAGGCATGAACGATGCAGAGCAGCCTGCCAGGATGGTCCAGTAAAACGAAATCCAGTATAGCTAGCTTTAGAATTTAGAGACTGTACAGCTACTCTGAACTATGCATTTTCATCAAAATTGAGATGTTTTGAAGAAACATTCAACAAAGTTTTGTCAGGAAGGGTTGGCAGATAGACACCTCTCTTCTTTTGCACACATTTTCATGAGCTGCGTAGCTCAGGTTTTCATTGTAAGATGGACATTTCACCACACTTCCTTCTCTATGAGAACATTTGAAAGACTTTGTCTTCAGTTCAACACAGAACAAAAAATCCAATTTCATAACCTCAAAAACTACTGTGAAATGAAATTGTCATCTCCTAGCACTTTACAGCTCAGTTTCATTTACTCCTGTATGGGTACTAAGATTGTTTTCTGAACTTGCTCCTCATTTATGTAGATCTAAAATAATTCTCACTTTTGCAAACTAAAATCATTGAGGTTAGCACCCAAAGGGCAGAAGAATATCTACTTCTTTACAGTTCTTTTAAGGATAAAGATCGGAAAAACCAAAATTCAAGTAGATCATGGACCTGGGTTATGTGAGATATGTATTAACTACTGTGTATACAATGTATTAAGGTTAATTCCTAATCTACGTGAACTCTAATGGAAGAACTTCAGCATGATGGACCTTCTTACAGGTACAAACAATTTTTTCAGTGATTCAATAAGGTCAAAAATTCCCATATGTAAGTGAAAAAAATTACACAGTCCCTAAACTCATAGATCTGTTTTTCAATAAAATATGTTTCAACACATGCTTTCACTTTAGTTTGACCCCTTTCTTTGCCTGCGTAAGTTAACTTTCAGGGGAAAAAAAACCCTTATCTGGTTTCTTTTGTTTTGTTTTTGCCCAAATTTATGGGAATGCTGAAGAGATTGCTAGTAAGAATGAGGTAAAAATAATTGGTAAGAATTTTGGACACGACCTGTTCTCTCTTTCAGTTAAGTCATTATATGGGTATATGATACTACATTGTAAGCCTGATACAGAAATTATTGACTAGTTTTGCTATTAGCCAATACACTATGAAGAGTGATTTAGCTTCCAAAGTCCTCTGGATGCAAAAGACGAGGGGAGAAAAATGTGAATATGCAGCAGAACTGATATCATTACTCACTAAGCATCACCATCCCAGTTTGAAAGTCTATGGAATCCAATATTAGGATCACATAAGAACAACGCGCAGGTGTCCTATCCTATTCCCAATCTGCCAGAGCTCTTTGGCATGCTAATTCTGCAAGTTTACAACTGTATCTGTTTGCATAAAGCAACTTATTTCAAGAGCTAATGTAGTCAAATGGAAGTCTAGCTAATCCTTATTCATGTTAGTTCTTGGTTTTCTCAGGTTTCCTAGACCATAAAAAACATGCAGGTGAGTGATAGCTCTGATAAAAGCTTTGCACATATAGTTTTGGTGAAAATGACTTTTCAAGTTAGCCTAATTAAGGAGGGCTAGAAGCAAAATCAAAAGAAATATTTTTGTAAGAAGCCAAGAAGACCTATTATCTTCATTCTTCAGGCAGGGTTTGGCAGATGTCTGTTCTCTTACTTCTGCAAAACATAGACATATCTGAGGATGTTTTACATTTCGGTGTAGGGTTTAAAGCACTCTGTTTGCAAATTGTACTCTGAAACGTGAATACTTCCTTTCTTTGGTAAGTCAGCATGAGAAGAGAAAGAGGATAAATCACTATTGCTTTTCTAAATGTGTGAATACAACAGGGAGATTCACACAAAAAATCAGGCACAAGCAATACACCCAGCTGAACTGTGGCCTGTGTTAACTGTTACTCTCCACACTTATTCCTGAACTGCCATGATTTCGATTCCACTTGCTTCAAGTTTTCTCTTGGTTTCCTCTTTTTCACTATATCCTCACAGTGAAAAACAGATAGGTAAAAGGAAAGGGGTTTATTTATTCTTAAGTCTGCAATATTATGTATCTGATTAAAAAAAACCCAAGACAAATATTTGTCTTTTTAATTTCCTTTAAAAAGGTGATAACGGGAATTGTTGCAGACACCAGCCAATTAGATAAATAATGCATTGTGCGAAGGAAGCTTCTTCAAACAAAGCAATATTCACATTTTCAGCAGCTATTTGAGATTTTGATAGGAACCGGAACAGAAGTAAGAGGAAATCAGGAGGCAACGGATAATACCTCCTTTTCAAAATGTGCCAAAAAATGTCAGTGTGACCTTAGAAAAAATACAGGCACAAAAAGGAGGAAAAAAATGCTTAAACATAAAAAACTAGCAGTCAAGTATGAAAACTGTAAGAAAAGAGGAAAAATAAAGACACTTAAACATATTAAGTTACTAGCTTTGTGTTCACTGTCGACATTTTTGAAGACATTACAATTCTGTGTCAGTTATGCAATTTGATTTGCAACAAGAAGTTAAAGGTGATATTAATGCCTTGAAAAATCACTGAGCACACTTTCAAAAGGAAATATTCAAGATTCTGCAAGTGTTAATTACAGTCAACCGTTTGCCATAAAATTATGTTTGAGAGATAGAAAGTGCAAGCATCACCCCTGTTAATATCATCTCAAAAAATCGGTATAAGTAGTTAGCTGGAAATATGTCAGTAGGGAAACATATAAAATACAGCAACTACTCAAAGAGGAGAAATTTTTTTCGTTATGCAATATTCTGCTCAGTGTACAAAGCGGCAGCTCAGGAATACTTGTTCTGTAATTGTTACCTTTTTGGCAGGTTATAATTTTCTTCTGAAGCTGAAGGCACAAATCGTTGAGATGGTCAGCTTGCCAGTACTTAAGAAACACTTTTCGGACTCCTATCTAGAATACAAACAGCAGGGAAACCTTCACCATCAACAAAAAAGGCCAAAGCGACGACAGGTAAATAACGACAGTCTGTATACAATCCAGCTAAGGGTTGAGATGAGATCTGCAATTTAAGACCAGTACAATGCCAACACTTGTACACAGAATTATTATCATTTGGTTGAATAAGAGATGTATTTGGAAAGGACGAGTCCCCCTTCAGTTCCAAAAACATCCAGAACAAATACTACAACACAGGTTGGAAAAAAGAGCATTCCGAACGTAATTACACTAATGTGTTAGACAACCAAATAGAAGATAAGGTTTAGATTTTTAAAACAGGGGCATGTGGGCAAGAAGAAAAGTGACATAAACCCACATGGAGCTGAAAAGGGTAACAGATAACTGCAATCTGTGGAACAAGCAGAATTTAGCCCAAGTTGGACGATAGCAGAAACTCACTGCCATCACTGAGAAAATTCTTAATGTCCAGTAAAATTATGAATCCTAGTTCCCAGCCTTGCCTGCTGAAGCTGTGCTGCCAGTCTCCTTTTAGAATCAAGCCTAAGAAGTCAGAGACAGAGGGATTAATTTGTGAAAAGTACTCTCCTAAATATTGATTGAGTGTACAAGCTTACTCTGGTGCTGACTAGTTGCTTGGTTTAACTCATCTAGTTCTTCAGGGTCCCAATAACAATCATTAGATGCTCTTCCCTCTTTATAGAAAAATTTAGCTTGTTAGACCAAAAGGAAACACCTTCCTTTTGATACCTTCTGAACATGCTGAAACAATCCTTAAAAATTCTTTTCTGCATAATCTTCAAAAGCATTCCTTTATAATAGCTGTAAAAAAAACCCAAAACCACACACAGCCTAGCGACTCTAAAAAGAGTAAGTAACTAAAAAAATTGGATAAATAAGGGCTTTTCTTATACATTTCCTTCTTAGGAATTCTGTAGAAGAAACTTTTCTTGACTTCCTAGAAATAAAAGGACCAGTATCAGAGAACTGTGCTATCCAGTGAAAATTATAGCTCCTATTAATTTTGTATGGCTAATAGGCACACTGATTAATTAATACAAGCCTGGCTGAAATTGCAGAAATTCATTCTAACTCTTGTTTGTCTGCAGCTCACAAGCTCATTCTCTTCCCATTGCACCACCCTGCTACACTGTTCTGTTTTTTTTTTTAGTATAGATCTGGGAGACAGGCATCAGCAGGGATATTCGCACACCTTTTCAACTAATTGCTTTTAATCCAAACACGACTGTCAGATGTACATCACTGGTAGCAATGAACTACAGAAAGCCAGGACATATATATATCATGTCTAAACTCCATCAAAAAAATTCAGAAATGACTGGGACATATTTTTGTCCCTTGGCTTCCTTTCTCTCTACTCTAGAAAGAAACTATTTTCGATCAAATGTTTTTAAAAGTCTCTAACTCTGAAGTTTGAGCTGACAGACAATGATGGTGCAAGTGTTAGTCTTCTAATTAAAATCAGATGCACTCAAATGGAAAAATTAGAATGCTTTCCAAAATTTTCTTCCCTTATTGTCTCTTTTCCCAATAAAATAGGTCTTTTTGTGTTACCGTAAAGTGTGTGAAGGCAAGGTGATAAAAACCACACTTTACTTGTCTTGCCATTGTAGAAACACATAAATAGGGAATATGCTTTCTTTGCATGGTGGAGAAGGCCTGAAACAGCTATTTTATAAAACTGTGTAGCTATAGAAATACTATTATAACTTAGCTGTTCCAGAGTAGCTCCTCTATTTAGATCATCTATTCTGGAATAATCTTGCTGCTTAAAAATTGGAATTATTATTCCAGAACAATATTACCTCTTCCTAGATCCTGTTTCTACAATGGTAGCTACCCTGTTAAAATGATGTCTTTATATTTACTTAACAGATTCTCTCGAGTGATGCCTTCCAATTTTTAACTTCATGTTCATCTGAGGCAATCCCACTGAGATCTCATTGTGCTCTCATACTCTGCTCTCAGGGACATACTCTAATTCTTATTCTCTTCATCGATGACTTCCAACAAAGGTTTTCACTTTTCTTCCTGTGCTTTCAAAAGTCTCTCTTTGCGTGGTTGTCTTAGCGCTCTGACTTCCTTCTTCATCCACCATCTGTTCTGGAATCTGCTTCTTTCCAAGGGCTAAATTTCCTTAGAAATCTTTCCTTTTGTCCCCACTTAAATCTCTAATAAAAATCTGTCAACTACATTATCCTCAGTTTAAATTTGCTTCTCTTTTAGATATCTAATCCTGTACCATGAACAAGCAAACTTTTCATGTTTTCCCAGCAAACTGTCAATTTTCTCCTCTCTTCCCAACAAGTATTCTATTTTAATGCCTTTAACTTTATTCCAGGACACCAGAACTCCACCTTGACTCCTCCTACCACATCCACTCTGTCACTAAACTCTGTGAATTCTTTAATAACTGCTCATCAAACAACTATTTTTTTCTATCCATCCTGTCAAACACATATTGAACTTTCCTTATTACTAGCTTTGATTATTAAACCCTCCTTCTTGCTCACATCACCTTAAATCCAGAATTCTTCTGTAAGAATAACTGAATTATTATTCATATGGTTAACTGTAATTAAATTATCAAGTAGTTATTATAATTACCGTTTGTATCTGAGTAGCTCTCAGACAACTAAAGTCTGGATACAAATACTTTATAAAATCATATTCTTCGACTCTGATTACATTTTCTCTTTATACTCCACTTTTTCTTTCCACAAATCCTCTACATCACATTGGAGCCTTTTTTCTCACTGTATCTCGGGCCTATACCAAATCATCCATAGTTCCCTGATTCTTGCCTCTTTCTGTCCATTCCTCAAAATGCTTGTTTATCTCCTTACTTCCTCACTGGAAGTCTCTAAAACATTCTTCTCTACTAGGGCAATATTGTGGTACTCTGACAGTAGAAAAGGGGATGAAAAGTTACATTCTGAAACCTTAAAAAAGCCCTGATTACCAGCAATGCACATGGCAACATAAACAACCCACTTCTCAATTAGTCTCATAATTAAGACACTGGTCACATCTGGGCTATATTTCAAATGTGTAACTTAATTAAACATTGTGTTGCAATTTATTTTGCAGTGTGCAGTCACAAAATTACAATCAAGGCAACTGCTCAACCTTATGGTCAGTTTAGCTACAAGTGTCTGGCATTGCAGTCACAAAACTAGCTAGGGGACAGGCAAAGCATTAGAACTCTTTTCTCTCATCCTAAACCCTAGGAACAATATAAATGGAGTCATTGTGGCATCACTTATGCTATGAACTTCATTAGTAGAAGCCTGCTACAATTTTTAAGTGAATGAAGAAATACAAAATGTCAATACAAATTCATTTTTACATTTGGATAAAAGCTATTTATAGATTTTACATCATATGCCAGGTCTATTGAGAGCAGAGCTCTAGACAGAAGCACGTATAGAAGAAACTGCTATAACACATTTGATTATGTTAGTATGGCTGGAGATCTGTATTGCTCAGCCTTCGAGCTAAATCTGATACCCTCTAAAGTTGACCGAGAACAAGCTAGTCTCACTGCCCTCTGTACAGCTCTGGTGTTCAGTGAGAGCAATAACGCTGAAAAATGTTGGAATTTCATACGCCAGATATCAAAACATATTTTGAGGCTGCCACCTGTCTTCATTCTAGTCTTTTCTCTAATCACAAAACGTTTCCTGCTTGCCTAGGGGAAAAAGAGGTTAAAATGTTCTTCCACTAAAGCACTCACTTTTCAATACTTTCTGGACTACAAAGTGCTCTCATCTGAGTCTGAAATTTTAATGTCATTCTGACTCCTGTAAAAGTAAACCATCTGTGAATTACAGTCATAGTTATTTTAATTAGAAAAGCATTAGGGTTTTAAATGTTATTTTTCAAAATGACACATTTTTTAAAGATTAAGTAAAATTGTCATTGATGACTACCAAAGCTTCAATTACTGCTACAGGACTCCTTTTTTTTTTCCTGGGAGGAAGGAGAAAGGATGGGAGGGAGCTGTTCTTTCTTTCTTTTTTTTTTTTTTTTTCTTTTACAGAAAAGGTGTAGGATGAAGAAGTACAGACATTCAAAACTATGGAATGGATGCTGAGATGGTGTGTAGGTGGCATGGAGGCAGTATTAGCTCATACTTAATAGGTGTCAAGGGAATCTGTAAAGCTGTTCTTTAGTTTAAAAAAGGCAATTTGTGGGAGTGCTGTGTGTTTCTGGCAGTACTTTCAAAATAGCTACCTACAAAAGACAGAGAAGTATAATCTAATGATATTTTACACAATGACACACATTTTCACAGTGCATTAATGAAATGTAGAAAAAAAGCCTTAAAACTATTGTAAAATGTGTCTTTTTTGCAGTGTACTTGTCTGCAAAAATATTATAATGACAAATACATTTACAGGGTACTGATCTTTTACAAGGACTGAAACGTTGTTTTTAAAGCCTTACTCTCTCTGCTTTATTTGTGAGTTTTTCTTCACACATTTTAAGAGCCCTCCTTTGTCTCTGGCAAACCAGTGACCTTGCACCGTGGTACATTTTGAATAAACCTACGGTGTAGCATAGCTTATGTATGGCCTAAATTTAAATTCTGTGAGTAGTCCAGTATTCACGCAAGTGACATTAAGCATTTATGTAAGTGCTTGTCAGAAGCTGGACTTTAGGCAGAAAAACTGTCATTTAGCTTTCTGGGAAAGGGCAGAAAAATGGTTGTTCCTTTTCCAAAAACTGTACAAATCTCATAGCTCTTTGCACTTGTGAGGCGACAAAAAGGACAGCCCTACAGGAAAGGAAATGATCAGGAAATATAAGATGTGTGTAAGAAATACTCAGTGGAGGAAACCCTACCTCAGTTTTATCTCATGGGATCTCTGTACTTACTTAACCTATCATTCTAGTCTTTCAAAATTCTGGAAATAGACATAGCACCAAAAGAAACAATATGAAAGTGTCTCTCTGTGTGAACCGAGAAA